AACAGAGGACCCTAGGACCATCAAAGGAGAAGAGCATGAGTGGAACATGGGACCCTAACCAGAGAAGCAGCAACACCAGAGATGGAGGCAGAGGTGATGGTACTGATAGAGCAGCTGAGGACTCTGGACTCTTGGAAAGAGAAAGGTTGCGTGCTGGTGGCCAGGAGGTTGGCTTGCAGAATGTGCCCTGTAACCAGTTGTTTACATGATTTTATATATATATATGAGGAAATGTTTCCAGAATGCTGGAGTAATGACCTAGAAAATCTGTTTCCCGTGAAAGCAAGGAGAACACTGGCAGAAATTGTCAAATTAACTTTTTCAGAGCTCCGAAAATTAACCAAATATATGGTAGAGTGAATTACTTATATGGCACTTGTAAAGTTATTCACAGAATAATGTGCTAGACCACAGGGTCTGTTTGAATAGCAAGGTTCTAAACCACCAGTCACTCTTTGGAAACCCTGTACAGGGTCATTTATGGATTGGAACTGACTCAATGATGTTAACAACATCAACAACAAAATTATACCCAAAAATCCAAACCCAGTGCCACTACTGAGTAGATTCCAACTTGTAGCAGCCCCATAGAACAAGTATAACTGCTCCTTAGTGTTTCAGAGATGGTCAAGAGATGACCTTACCTTTCTTCTAGGGAGTGGTTGGTGGGTTAAAACCAACAGCCTTAATGCCCATCAAATGTCTGGGTTGTTTTTGTTGTTAAGCGCCATCAAGTCAGTTGCAACTCATAGCAACCCTGTATTGGGTTTCCCAAGAGCAGCTGGAGGATTTGAACTGCTGACCTGTGGTTAGCAATCCAGTGCTTACCCTGTAGTGCCACACCAGGACTCCAATGACTGGGTGTTGTTGTTACTGGTAAATGCTATCAAGTTGGTTCCGACTCATAGTAACCCTGTATAGGGCTTCTAAGGAGCAGCTGGTGAGTTTGAACCTCTGACCTTGCAATTCAAAACAGTCTAGTGCATAATCCAGCAGTGCCACACCAGGAATCCTGGGTAGGACTATTCAAATGTGAAGCTCTTGTGGCCTACCACAAGATAGCTTGCAAATAATATTAAAAAGGGGCAGGGGAGCCCTGTGGGAGCGGGACCACGTAAATAAGGTGTATTGAACCCTAACAAGGGGATTGGTTAATTTTGCCTTCCTGATAGGCTTAAATGAGCCATCTTAGAGGAGAAAGGGGGAATCCCACTACTATCAAGAAAGAAGCACCAGGAGAGGGGCGTGTCCTTTGTACTGGACATCACTGAACTGAACCTCCTCAATCCCGGAGACAACAGTGACACCAAAAACAGCAAGAGATGAGAAGCAGTGGCAGAGAAATGGCAGCAGCAGAGGCTGTAAGTTCTGTGAGACCATTGCAACGAACAGTCAAGCCCAGCAAAGAAAAGAACGTCACAGAAGGAACAGTTGGAGTCAGAATTGGTAAAAGGACTGGAGCGTGCAGGCATGTTTGATCTCTGCCGCATAGAAAAGAGCTTTGGGCAACTAATGCTGATGATCTTGATTTTCTCTCCCCTTGTGAAGTTAGAGGTGATCAGATGACAGTGCATTTTTAGTGGCACTGTAAGATAAGCACTGAACCGCAGCACAGTTTGAACTGAAAAGTTGGCAGTTCAAATTCAACAGTTGCTCCTTGGAAATGCTATGCAGGGTCGCTATGAGGTCGCTCGATGGCACTTAACAGCAACAACAATCTAAGGAGTGTTTATTCAAGGGGGGAAAAAACGCAAAAGAACAAAAACCCAGCTTCCTCTTGATAAAAACTGCAAGCCTCTTGAAAGTTTAACCAATTATTCCCATTCCTCTCCCTAGCTCGATGGTACCTTGAATACCAAGATATTTAAGGCTCCAGCTACACTGAATGACTGCTGTTATTAAGTGCTGTAGAGTTGATTATGATTCATAGTGACCCTGTATATGGTTCCCAAGGAACAGCTTGTGGTTTTGAACCACTGACCTTGTGGTCTGTGGTCCAGTGCTTATCCTACAGCACCACACCAAGAGCAGGTACCAAAACGCACTATCCTCTGTTTTCATATATGCTTTGCTCTCTGCCAAGTACACTTTCCTGTGATGCTCTCATGTCTAACAATCAAATCGGTTCCAATTCATAGCAACCCTGTATAGGGTTTCCGAGGAGTGGCTGGTGAGCTTGAACTGCTGACCTTGTGGTTCAAACCAGCATTGCAGTCTAGTGCATTAACCTGCAACACAAGTTTCAGTTTTCTGCTTCCATGTCACTTCTTCCCTAACTCCCATTTCTGTAAATATCCCCTGAATATCCTGGGATGGGGTATGGTAAATGTGGATCCACCCTTCCCTTTTCTCCCCTTCCTCAGTAGGGTCTGTGACATCAGTAAAAAGTAAAAAGGAGCTAGAACATCAGAAGGAATTTTAAAATTTGTACTCTAAATATGAGTTCTGCTGAAGCAAAAAAAAAAAAAAGGCCTCCTGGTGAAATCCTTTCCGAGCATGAAGAGGATTCTCTGTAGATAGTCTGGCTCCTGGTTCTCTGTCCTTGGGCCTGCCCTCCACAAGAGCCTCTTCTTCAAGCCCATCACTCCCTTTAGATGTTGAACCTCCTTCCTGGACAGATAGGCCTTCCTCCAAATTCACTTGTGAGTAACAATTCAAAAACCCACAGGCCATCCCAGAGTGGCTTTTTGCATACTGCTCAACAGAACAATTTGGATAGGGCTTTGACCCTCAAATCCATGTCCCCAGTTAATTCTTCTCACTAGTTTTTGTGGCAAATATACCTCTTTATTCTCAGAGACAGAGTTTAAACTAGTAGTTCTCAAAATCTATTGTGCATAAGAATCCCTCAGGGAGCTGTTTTAAATACAACAATTATTGGGTCCCACCCCAAGGATTCCAATACTTTAGATCTGTGGAACACATTGCCAAACCCTAAATGCAAATCAAAAGATCCTATTTTCCTAAACACCCATGATTTGCAATGAATGCCACCCCCTCAAAATGGAATGAGCACTTTGAGTAATAATGCAAAAGGCAATAGTTTCTTTTGTTCTTTGCCTCCTTTATCACTATGCTTCTTTGGACCTGTTAAAAATAAAATAAATAAAAAGTGGGATCATTACTGATCATCTCTTAGTGGTTGTTTTCTTGACTACACTAAAGTCTTAATATTATCATTTGATCTATGTTCTTAGAAAAGGCATCTCTTCCATAGATGGGGTAAGGATGGAGGGCAGTTTACCCTTCTAGGATGCAATCATTCATTTCTTCATGTTTCTCAAGGACAAGTCACTTGGCATCACATGTAATTGCCTTTTAATGAAATTATAATAATTGATATATCTAAAGCATTTATGTGATAATAAGCACACAGGATTATCTATAACTACAATATTTTATTAATGCTAAAATACAACTCCTTAAAACTTTAACAACCTGAAATAAGGATATACGTTACAATCAGCACCACTTGGAGAAATACTGTATTATTTTTGTTCCATTCCGTTGTGGCTCCTTCATCATTACACCTCAACACATGGCAATATAGTAGGTGCTCAGTGAATTGGTGAATGAACACATAAACAAATCCTTCCTGATATTCACACCACCCCCTTCCATACGCACAGATAGCATGTAATTCTCTCTTCTGAATCTCCAAGGCACTTTGGTCTGATCTGTTTCCATGTACAAAAGCCCCCAGGTTATAAAGTTTCAATTTATGGACAACTCACATTGTTGTTAGGTGTCATTGAGTCAGTTCGGACTCATAGTGACCCTATGCACAACAGAATGAAACCCTGCCCAGTCCTGCGCCATCCTCGCAATTGGTATGCTTGAGTCCATTGTTACTGTCATGGTGTCAATCCATCTTCTTGGGGGGGGTGTCTTCCTCTTATTCGCTGACCTTCCATTTTACCAAGCATGAGGTTCTTCTCTAGGTACTGATCATATATCCTAAGTATGAGTGATAAAGTCTCACTCTCCTGACATCTAGGGAGCATTCTGGCTGTACTTCTTCCAACACAGATTTGTTTGCTCTTCTGGCAGTCCAGGGTACTTTTAATATTCTTCTCCAACACTATAACTCAAATGCATCAAATCTTTTATGTCTTTCCTTATTCATTGTCCAACTTTCACGTGTATATGAGGCGACTGAAAAGACCATGGCTTGGGTCAGACACACCTTAGTTTTCAAACTGACAACTTTGCTCTTTGACACTTTAAAGCAGTTTTATGTATATTTGCCTAATGCAATAAATTGCTTGATTTCATGACTCCAGCTTCCATGAGCGTTGCCTGAAGATCCAAATAAAATGAAGTTTTTAGCAACTTCAATCTTTTCTCTATTTATCATATTGATTCAACTGTGGGAATTTTTGTTTTCTTTGCATTGAGGTGCAATTCATACTGATGGCTATAGTTTTTAATCTCCGTTAGTATTTTAAGCCCTCTTCATTTTCAGCAAGCAGGGTTGTATCATCTGCATAATGCAGGTTTTTAATGAGTCTTCCTCTGATCCTGATGCCACATTCTTCTTCATATAATCCGGCTTCTCAGGTTATTTGCTCAGCATACAGAATGTGTAATTATGGTGAAAGCGTACAACGCTGGTGCACACCTTTCCTGATTTTAAATTACTCAGCGTCCCCTTGTTCTAACAACTGCCTCTTTCTTGGTCTTTGTACTTTTTCATGAGCACAATTACATGTTCTGGAATACTCATTCTTTACAATGTTATCCATAGTTTGTCATACCCAAACAGTTTAAAGCCTTTGCAAATCAATAAAGCACAAGTAAACATCTGCTTCAGCCAAGATCCATCTGACATCAACAATATCCCAAGTTCCATGTCCTCTTCTGAATCTGGCCTGAAGTTCTGGCAGTTCTATATTGGTGAAGATCATTTTTAAATGATCTTCAACAAAATTACTTGCATGTGATATTAATGACAGTGTTTAGTGATTTTTGTGTTCCATAGGGTCACTGCTCTTTGGAATGGGCACAAATACAAATGTCTTCCGATTGGTTGGCCAGGTAGCTGTTTCCCAAATTTCTTGGCATAGATGATTTCCTCTAGTGCTGCTTCCGTTTACTGAAAGATTTCAATGTGTATTCCATCAATTCCGGGAGACTTGTTTCTCACTAATACCTTCAGTGCATTTTGTACTTCTCACATTGGTTTGATTATATATAGTTCTTAAAATGGTTGAACATCGACCATTTCCTTTTGTTATAGTTAACTCTGTAAGGAGCTCTGGTAGTGTGGTGATTACAAATTGGGCTGCTAACCTCAAGATCTGCAGTTCGAAACTACCAGCTGTTCTGTGGAAGAAGATAAGGCTTTCTGCTCCCATAAAGATTTGCAGCCTTGGAAACCCTATTCAAGGTCACTATGAGTCGCAACCAACTCTACAGCACTGGAGCACCACAACTCTGCATTCCTCCAGTCTTCTTTTGATATCTTCTGCATCATTGAATATTTTGCTCATGCTGTTATTGTTAAGTGCTATTGAGGCTGCTCTGACTCATAGCGAGTCTGCATAGGGTTTCCGAGGAGTGACTGGTGAGCTTGAACTGCCGACCTCACAGTTCAAACCAATATTGCAATCCAGTGCATTAATCTGCAGAGCCACAACAGGATTCCCATTTTGGCCACAGAATCCTTCAATATTGAAAGCTGAGGCTTGCCCTTTAATGTTATGTAAATCTGTCCTCACTTTGAAATGACTAAACCAACCTCTACTTAAAACAAATTCTTTATCACAATCACCTTCAATTGCCGTATGTGCAACTTCTAAATCATAAAAATTTAAGCCCCAAGCTTTTTCTTGCACTAAAATCCAAAAGACAAACCCATTGCTGTGCAGTCAATTCCCACTGCTAGCAACACAATACTCTATAGATGCTATGAACCTAAAATACGAACCATATGTACCTGTTCCAACATACCTACACATTTGACTAAAACATACACTTAGGAATAGATCTCACTTGTAAACTGGAAAAGACCTGTATTTCTATATCAAACTACACAGTGCCTAACTTACTAGCAGAATGAAGGCAGAAACCTTATTTATCTGAGGGTCACCATACAGTTGCAATATTTTGCAGTGCCTTCCACATAGGTGCCTCAATAAAAGTGCTTTAGGTGCAAGAAAATGTGCAGCTTGTTGTCCTCTCATCTGCCAGGCTGTGAGCTCATTTACATATTGATACTCAGTAAGTATTGAATGAGGCACACCAGCCTTTCTTCACTCCTAACCAGTCTAACACAACCTCACTCTCCAACATAAACCTATTACAATGTGACACTTAAAAGACAAACAGCAGAAGTTTGTGGGGTTTTTTGTTTTTTGAAATTGCTGATTATAATAGAAATGAGGGTAAAATGGAGTACACGTGTTATTTGCACAGAAGTTCTTTCTCCTTGAGAAAGCTGGGTCTACACCTTTTAAAATTCTTGATGCCAAATTAAATCAGAATCTCTGGGGACTCAAATAGCAGGGCTTTTTTCTGACTTCTTGTTATTGTGATGTGCCGTGGAGTCAATTCCAACCCATAGCGACCCTGTACAGGGTATCCGAGGCTGTAAATCTTTGCATGAGCAGAAAGCCTCATCTTTCTCCCACAGAACAGCTGGTAGTTTAGAACTGCTGACCATGAGGTTCGCAGCCCGATTCATAATCACAGTGATCAAATTCATTGTGATTCTGGGTTTTACAGAGAACTCAGTCATAGTAGCACTGGTAAAGTAGGACACCATGTGTTTCCAGAACATTACTTTTAGATTGAGTTTTAATCCTTAGCTTCCTTTTTGCCACCCAATTTCAACTAGTATTTGGGCCTATGCTTTGATACAAAAACTTTTTTCAGTGTGTGCTTGTATGAAATGAGTTGTCCTAACTTGTATTTCATCAATCAGAAAATAATTTCTAAGTAACATTAAATCTCTTATACCTGAGATTTGGATCTTGCCAGAGGCAAAGAGTTTTCTGGTCTTGTCTGACTTGTTTTTTAAAAAGGTGCGCTGACTTTAAGCTAGTCTGGTAGCGTAGTGGTTATGAATCAGGCTGCGAGCCACAAGGTCAGCAGTTCGAAACTACCAGCGGTTCCGCAGGAGAAAGATGAGGCGGTCTGCTCCCATAAAGATTTATAGCCTCGGAAACCCTGTGTAGTCACTATGAGTCGGAAACAACTTCACGGCACATAACAAAAACAACAACAATAATCTTGTGGTGTGATCAAGAAGGAAATTTATGTGGGACAACTGGTGAGCTAGCTTCACAACACAGAGCAGTCAATAATTTCTTCTTGAAAGTGTCTTTAAAACTCATTCTGTCTAGAAGGCCAAACTGGTGATAGTTACATTCTATTAAGTTACTCCAACACTAAGCTGTTAAGAGCCATTGAGTCAATTTCAACTCACAGCGATCAGGATATGGTTTCTGAAGAGTGGATGGTGGGTTTGAACTGTCAACCTTGTGATTTTATCCTATAGCGCCACACTAGGACCCAACAATAAGTCAGTAAGTATCAATCCAGCTTTGTGCGTGGACAACTCAACATTTTTGTTATTCTGTGCATGCCCATGTCCATCAAAGTGTTGTATTGATTTTGGCATTACAAATAAATTTTAGATAGTAGGTAAATTTGCAAATACAGTAATTTGTGAACAAAGAAGATCAATTGCATGCTGCAAACTCCTGATATTTACAACTATCTTGTAACAAGCACCCTGTACCATCATCCATCTTTTACAGAAGAGGAAATAGTCTAGCACAAGCCGAGCATTGTAGAGGCTTGTTAAATCATTTAAATAGCTCCAGAAAAACCTACATTGACTACATCACTCATCTTGCAAAATCCTTTATGAGCTTTCTCAAAGGAGTCCAGCACATTGATTAAGAGCATGGCCAAGCTCATTTTGTCACATACAAGACCAAAGTCAAATACTGGCTGTCATTTACTTAACCTTGGAGAAATCATAAGCTGTTACCCTATCTGAAAAATGGGATTTTTTTTTTTTTTTTAGTACTCCTTCTCGGTAGCTGGGAATATAAAAATGGTAGCGTAGTGGTTACGAATCGGGCTGCGAACCTTAAGGTCAGTGGTTCGAAACTACCAGC